AGGAGAGCGAAGACCGGGGAAAGCGCGGGGCCGGTCGGGCAGGCGCCCCGGGCCGGGACTACCCACCTAGCACCAGGATACGGTCCTCGGGCCGCAGCTCCGGCTCCAGGAGGGCACGGAAGGAGGAGAAGTTCCCGAACCACTCGTAGGGGGCGGAATCGGCGGCGCCTTGGTAGCGCAGGTCCCAGTACTGGACCTCGCAGTACTCGAAGTTCCGCTCCGGCAACGCCGGCAAGGGCGCGGGGCCCCCAGGAGAGGCCATGCTAGCTGCAGCCTCCGGAGCCCGGCCCAGCAGCCAATCGCAAGTGCCGGAGGCGGGACCTTCGGGGCTCCGCCCACCGCCCTCGGTTGCTCAACACAAACACGTGGAACTTCCGTCTGCCGCCCGGCGCTCTTCGGAGAATCCTCCGGTTGGAAAGCCGTACCGGATCCTGAAACCCCTGGCTGCCCAGTCACCTCGGAGGGCCGTGCCTGGTGTCAGACTCACTCAGGCTGATCACTGCGACCTCTCGAGTTTCAGTTTAAACGGCTTCGCCCATTAAGCCTAAAAAGTAGCTGGAGATTCACTTTTAATCAAGCCGTTTCTGACTCCAGGAAGGCTCTGAAGGGAGGTGGGTGGGCTGCAGGCAGGGGCTTTGCCCTCTAACACAAACTCGAATTTTTCCAGCACAGGTAAAGTGGAAATGAACCTGGAATGCAAGGAGGCAGGACTGTTGCTCTTCTGAGCAGACTTTCATCCTGTATTAGCGTCTGTGTGTCTGGCTGGGTATATACCGAGTAAAACTTTGTTCCTGCTCTTACGGCGTGTGTAAACAGCTGGAGGAGAGAGATGTGGAAGAAACAATTTTAGTGGCGTTAAGCCTTGACTTTGGCCTCAGCAGCAGGTATTGGCTTGGTGGAACTTACCTCGAAGGGAGCGGAACCTAAGTGTCGAAAGGTTGAGTTTCCGGGTTGTGGGCCCACTAAGGCGGCGCACTGTCAAGATGGCGGCTGGGCTGCGGAAGCGCGGCCGGGCGGGGTCCGCGGCCCAGCCGGTGGGATTCTGCAGACAATGGCTACAGCGCGCCTGGCAAGAGCGGCGCCTACTGCTGCGGGAGCCGCGCTACACGCTGCTGGTGGCCTCCTGCCTCTGCCTGGCGGAGGTGGGCATCACCTTCTGGGTCATTCACAGGGTTGCATGTGAGTGCGCCGAATGGGAGAGGAGGGGAGGGAGGGAGATCAGAAAAGTGATCCAAACTGGGATCCGGAGCTCTGTGGTGCCGCCGCCTGCCTCTCAAGCTCAAGGTCCCGGGTTCGATCCCCGGTACCCAAAAAAAAAAAAAAAACACCCCAAAAAGCTAGACTTCAAAGACCCTCGTTCCTCATTTTCAGACTTCTATTCCTTACTGGGGCCCCCAGTCTGTTCCACAGAAAATGCGATCTTAATCCTGCCCGCATAAGGAAGGGGAACGACCCCAGAGGTTTACTTTCTGCCTTGACCATTCAGCCTGCCAGACTAAGAAAGCAAACCAGCCAGGAAATCATTTCTGGGCCAGAGTTAGCTCCTGCTTGTCTTGGTGTCTTTGGACAAGCCCCTTCCCCTCCCAGATCTCAATTTTCTCACCCATTTGATTCTGAGATCTTGAAAGTACTTTCACAACGATGGCATTTGTGCCCACTTGATTTCATTATGCACATTAAATCTAAATGGGCTTAAGGCACTGGCTTCCTGGCTAAAGACAGTTCATTCAACACATATTTATTGAGCACTTATTGTATGCCTAACGTGCATAGGTACCAGAGGTAGTAAGAGAGATGAGTGTGGCCCAAACAGATAAACTAGCAGGCACCTACACTGCACTATACTCACATTGTGATAGTAGAGACAAGATGAACACAGGCGGTCCAAACCTGAGAAACCAGGGAAGGTTTCGTAATGATCCCTTGGAAGGTGAGTATGAACTAGCCAAGTGAGGAAAGAAAGGAAAGGGGAGAGGAAGAACCCCCAACAAAGGAATGTCAAAAAAAATATCCTTGGGCAGGGGATGTAACCCAGTGGTGTCATGCCTGCCTGGCAAGCACAGGTCCTAAGTTTGATTCCTGGCGCACACACACACACACACAAAGCTTATCCAGGCATGGTGGTGCACACCTGTGATCTCAGTACTCACAGAAGGATTGCTGTGTTTGAGGCCAGTCTGGCTACAGAGTAAGTGCAACTTGAACTACAAAGCAAGATCCTGTCTTAAAAAAGAAAAAGCCTAAGCCAGGCGTGGTGGCGCACACCTGTAATCCCAGCACTGGGCAGGCTGAGGCAGGAGGATCGCTTCAAGTTCGAGACCAGCGAGGGCTACACAGTGAGTTCCTGAGCAGTCTGAACTACATAGTGAGACCCTGTCTCAAAAAACCAAAATAAATAAGTAATTAAATAATTTTAAAAAGAAAGCCTAAACATAGGCACTGTGGCACACGCTTATTATCCCCGAATTTGGGAGTCTGAGGCAGGAAGATGGGAAATTCTGTGCCAACCTGGGCTGCATAACAGAACCTTTGTCTCAAAAAGAAAAGCAAGAACAAAAAAAAACCTCACAGCCTAGTTGCTTTGAAGAACTTGGGGAATTAAAAAAAAAAAAAAAAAAACAGCTGGAATGAGCTGGGCATGGTGGTGCACCTATAATCCTAGCACCTGGGAGGCTCAGGCAGGGGGATTGCCTCAAGTTCATAGCCAGCCTGAACTACAGAGCGAGACCTTGTCTGAAACACAAACAAAAACACAAGAAAAAACAAAAAAACCCAGCTGGAATGTAGAAGACTGACGATAGTAGTTGGACATTGAGGTGAAGTTGCAGAAATTGATATCAGATTATAAAGAGATTTAAAAGCCTTGAGATAACATGGCGTTTCAGAATGTGGGAGTCCTAACTGCACGCTTAACTCACTGATCTTAAACTACCTAATTAACTTTTAGGCTCCTCTTGTGATAATGGTGTGATGGAGATGGATCTTTATCTTCAGAGTTTTAGGGAATCATTGAAGAATTTTAAGCAGAGAAACTAGATAATGATTTATATTGTAGGAAACTGATGCAAGGTGGAAAATAGATTGTATTTGGGTGAGGATGGAAGTCAGAAGCCTAATTAGAATACTGTCCGGATACAGATTATGTTAGACCAAAATGGAGTATATGGAACCTGCGAAGAAGGATGAGCTAGTAGAGATATTTAGGGTGAATAGGCAAGGCTTGTTGACCAAGGGTCAGCAATGAAAAAGAAGGATATAGCAAAGATGATACTTACATTCGTGACCTGGTCAGCTAGGAGGTTGGTGGTGCTATTCCTAGAACGCGGAAAGGACAGCACATTGGGAGTGGGAGGAAGGAGCATGAGCTCAGTTATAGGCATCCTGGGTTTCCCAAGCGATTGTCAAGCAGTTAGACAGACATGGGGTGGTGACAGAAGCCCCGGGAATGGGCAAACTCTGTGCTTTGGTGTTTGGGGGACATGGGTGTGAGCGGGGCAGGTTCTGGACTGAGAAGTAATCAGATTATCTTACCTTCTTCCAGACACAGAGATCGACTGGAAGGCCTACATGGCCCAGGTAGAAGGCGTCATTAATGGCACGTATGACTATACACAGCTGCAGGGTGACACTGGACCGCTTGTGTGAGTGGGGATAGACGATTGCAGGAGGCTGTGAGGGGCTGGCTAGGTACCGGGCTGCTTGACCTGCCCTAGGCCCACATCCCCTGTCGTCTTCTAGCTACCCCGCTGGCTTTGTGTACGTCTTCATGGGGCTGTACTATGCCACTGGCCAGGGCACCGACATTCGCATGGCCCAGAACATCTTCGCTGTGCTCTACCTGGCCACGCTGCTGCTTGTTTTCTTGATCTACCACCAGACCTGCAAGGTGAGTCTGCTGCAAGGACCAGAGGCCCCCAGCCTGTGAGGATGGGTCATGGAATGGCTTAGGATGGGGAGCTGACCTTGTTCTTCACTGTGCCTACCCCTTAGGTGCCGCCCTTTGTCTTTTTCTTCATGTGCTGCGCCTCTTACCGTGTTCACTCCATCTTTGTGCTGCGGCTCTTCAACGATCCTGTGGCCATGGCGCTGCTCTTCCTCAGTATCAACCTCTTCCTGGCTCGGCGCTGGGGCTGGGGCTGCTGCTTTTTCAGGTTTGCACCCCTCCCTTCTGGCCCTTCGTCTTACTTTTTGCAGCAGAGAGAGTAAGGGAGTGGCCACCCACAAGCTAAGTACAGGATAGCATCCTCGGTTGGAGTTAGTCCTTGTGCATTTGACATCACCTTCAGTCTGGGTGCAGGAACTAGGTGTCTGGCCCTGCATGGCCTGCTCCCCAGCAGCTCCAAGTGTGGGCCCGTCCTCTGCTTGCTGACAGGTGACAGAACAGCTTTAGGCCGGGGACGCAGGCCTGGAGCCCACCTCGACCTCTCCTCCCCGTGCTCCCTGCAGCCTGGCGGTCTCTGTGAAGATGAATGTGCTTCTCTTTGCCCCGGGGTTACTGTTCCTTCTCCTCATGCAGTTCGGCTTCCATGGTGCCCTCCCCAAGCTGGGCATCTGTGCTGTCCTTCAGGTACCCCTCTGCGCCCTTCCCGTTCTCAGGAAGGGGAGGCCACCCATCTGGCCTCCTCCATCCTCAAGGTTTCCTCAAAGCCAAGAAGTAGGGTTTTGAGTTGACTCTGAGCTGGCAGCCTTCAGGTCTGTTTTAGCTTCCATAACCTAAAACAGAGCTGTGGGACTAGCGGCCTCAGGTTTTAGCTGTACCTGTGGATGACGTGGTGAACCCAAGCCTCAAAGCCTTGTTATTCCCTTCCTCCTCAGCTTCTCTGGTTAGGCTGTGGGGAGGTAGCTTTCCTGCTGCTCCTGGTGGGAACTGGGGACCTTCTGGAGGTCCCATCCTGCCCCTGCTCCCTTCAGGGATCAGCACAAGGCTGAGGCGAGCCTTGGCAGCCCTGCTGACATCACAACCCCTCAGGTAGTGCTGGGTCTGCCCTTCCTGCTGGAGAATCCCATTGGCTACCTGTCGCGCTCCTTCGACCTTGGCCGCCAGTTTCTCTTCCGGTGGACAGTGAACTGGCGCTTCCTCCCGGAGGCACTCTTCCTGCATCGTGCCTTCCACCTGGCACTGCTGGCTGCCCACCTCACCCTGCTCTTGCTGTTTGCTCTCTTCAGGTGGCACAGGTAAGAAGGGAGTGGTACAGTGAGCAGAGTTGGGGGAAGAAATAAAGAGCCTGAGCTGTGGGTGGTTTGGCCTATGGTGGGGGCTTAATAAATGTCTGAATTGTTTCTTCCCAGGACGGGAGAAAGTATCCTGTCACTGCTGAAGGAGCCCTCCAAAAGGAAGGTCCCACCCCAGCCCCTCACATCCAATCATATCCTTTAAATCAAGGAAAGGTAAGTCCTGTCCTCCAGGTGTCCCGTGCTGTCAGCCTCCGGTGCCTGGAGACCTGGGCTGGGGAGAAAAGCCCGTTCATAGAGCTCCTCTTCTGCGGCCCTGTGCAGCACTTTGTATAGTGAAGCGTGTTTTACTTTGAATTCTGAATGCCGAGCTGTGTAGCCAGCTGTGGTGACACATGCCTATAATCCCAGCTTTGGGGAGGCTGAGGATACAAATAAGTTCCAGGACAGCCTGGACTACATAATGAGACTGTCTCACTGAATGAATACAGGGGGTCTTTGACTTAAGAAGTCAGTTTGGTCCCGAGGGCTAAGTTGTAACTCAAGTTGGTCAGTTGCCTTCTGAGTCTCTCTGTTGTGTGATTTTAGGCCACACCTTCTTCTGGGCAGAGCTTAGTATCCTTAGAGAGAAACTGGCCCAGGATTCTCATTTCACCTCACACGGGAAAGGATGCTGTCTGTCGTGTTCCTTCCAGAACTCTTCAGGGGTTAAATCTGTGTCTGAGACCATCTGGAAGCACACGTGGCTGGCATTTGGGTCATAACTCAAGACTTTGGTCTTAAGTTAAAACTAAAATTCTGGTCATAACCCAAGTTGTTCATATGTCAGGCCGGTCATGACTCCAGGCTCCACCCTACATACCCATATGTGTATGGAGCAGTATAAATAATCGAGCTATCACAGGAGTGCTCGCGCTAAGATTTCTATTTCTCTTAACACTTGAGGCTCACAGGAGACCTGAGGTAGGGAGATTCTCTCATCTTCACTTCGCAGACGGCAGAGTCAAAGCTTGAAGAGGCCAAGGAGCCATTGTCACGCAGCTCCCAAGTGAGGGATCCAAACTCCCCAGTCCTTATGGTCCGGCATGGTTAATTCGCCCACAGCAGGCACATAGGAAGGGCAGAGCCAAGGGGCTTTGTGACCCCCAAACTTCTGGCCCCTATCTCAGGACAGCCCTACCCCCAGCTCCTGCCTGTTTGATTCCTGGCCTTGGCCTTGACGGTCACCTACAGATCGTGTCCACCCTCTTCACCTCCAACTTCATCGGCATCTGCTTCAGCCGCTCCCTCCACTACCAGTTCTACGTCTGGTACTTCCACACGCTGCCCTACCTCCTGTGGGCCACGCCTGCGGGCTGGCTCACACACCTGCTCAGGTACGGCAGCCTGGCCGGCCGGGATGCATCAGCCCTGGAGCCGGACAGCACTGAGTGGAGCGTTTCTCCCCTCCAGATTGCTGGTGCTGGGGCTCATCGAGCTCTCCTGGAACACGTACCCCTCCACGTGCTGCAGCTCTGCTGCCCTGCACGCGTGCCACGCCGTCATCCTGCTACAGCTCTGGCTGGGCCCGCAGCCTTTCCCCAGGAGCGGCCGGCAGGGCAGGAAGGCCCACTGAGACCCACACCTCCACTCCAGCCCTGGCAGGGCCGGGGATGGGCTCTGTCCTGCTCAATAAACCTTGCCACACGGCCCTCTGTGCAGCCTGTGTGGAGTGGGGGCCTCTGATGCCAGCAGATAAAGAACCACTCTGGGAGGCTGAGGCAGAGGATCACAAGTTCAAGCCCAGCCTAGGTAACTTAGTGATTTAGTGAGGCCCTTCAGCAAACGAAAAAGGGGTGGGGCTAGCTCAGTGCACAGATCTGGGTCCCCCCTCTAGTGCTGTGAAAACTAAAGGTTAAAACCTCACTCCCCCTGTGGTCCTGAGAGGCACTTTATTGCATAGGATTTGGGGGCTGGCTCTCTTCTCTTCTGCTGAGGCAAGAGCTCAGAGCCTGGGGGCAGCAGCATGGGGAGAGGGGAGGGAGAGAGCACAGGCAGGCACTTCTGGGAGCAGAGGGCTGGACGGAGGGATGAGCCGCCCAGGACCCTGGGCAGTAGTGGCAGTGACCAGGGGCGTGGTCCTCACACGTTGGCCGGGCTGTAGCACAGCAGGTGGAGCTGGAGGTTCTGGTCCCAGTGGCGCAGCAGCAGGAAGAGCCCGCGCGCTGCGGCCTTGAGGGCGGCCAGGTCGAGGCCTTCGGGCAGGTGCTGGGCCTGCAGCCAGCAGTCG